GCAGCATGGAAGCTGATGGAACAATGGGACTAAGTATATCCGGGTCACCCTCGGTTAACAATATCTCATCAAGAACCACCCGATTTAATTTCAAAGAAGAAGAAAGCGCAAAAACAGGCTTGGATGGATCAACAATAGTAAGTGGAGAAGTCTCGATCTTTAATATATCGTCGATATCATCCTGCTTCCACCATTCTAACGGTCGTCGGAGCGACTTTTTCCTTTTTCGTTTCCGTAATGGTTTTTCTTCGGTACGTCTGACCTGTTCCCCTTCATCCCACCAGTCGAACCGGTAGGACGTTCCCTGGATACGGGACGGGAGTTTTGGCGAGCTTGGTGCGTACCCCTTGTGGAGCGCGCAGCCATTCTGCCGCGATTCGTGGACGTCCCGCGTTGGTACTTCGCAGGCGGGTTGTGAGAACCGGAGGGAATTCGTTGGCGCTTCTGAGAGGGAGCGTTGTTCGATTGCGGGGCACGGCCTTTCTACAATGGGGTCCGTTGGTGAGTCAGCGTCCGATGATAATGAATCATGAACATCAGTGAATGCACGTACTGATTGTTTGTCGACAGAGCTTTTAACAGCTTGCTTGATTTCTTTAGAGACAATCGAGCGGATCTCCTCCGTGAGTGTTTTCTCTTTGGAGATCGTGTCGACTTCCATCTCTGCCGTAATTTTAGCTAATCGCTTCTTTTCTTGTAGTTTATTTGCCTCGTTCGCCTTCAGAGAAGCCGAGATCGTGGCAGCCATGAGTTTATGGTCGACAAGGTTAAGGGCCAGATCGAAAACACTACAGAAGTCGGCTTGGATGGGTCCGCAGGGCATGGTCGACATGACCGACTGAGCGTCGGCATACCATTGACCAAGCAATTTACGTTGGTAAGTCTCGCTGTTAAGAACAGCGTTCACTTTTTGGAGTTCCTCTCGTCTGGCTGATATCGCTTCGGAGAGGATTAAAGTGCGTAAGGATTGGGTCGCCTGATTTATCACCACCTGGTGCGAGCCGAGGTCAGAATCGTCTTGCGAGGGGGTGGAGCTCATCAAAGTAAACGTAGGTGTCCCTTTCATGATTGATTCAGGAAAGGTGCCTTGCGTTTCATGTGCGGTGAGTTTCGCGAGTGAGCTGACGATCTTGCGATGTGCATTAATCGCTTCCTCTATAGTAGTAAAAACTACTGGGAAGAGGTGCTCCTCTACCCATTTGGCTACGGTGCCGCCGTGACGTGATGCGGATTTCGCACGGTCTCGGAACTGTTGAATGGAAACGACTGGTTCCATAAAATCTTCGTCGCGGGCAACCGATCCGGCCGTAGGGGCAGGGAGTCGCGAGTTGATACGGTGGTTCGCAGAAGGACGACGAACACGTTCCGACATCATTTCGAGGTGAGTTTTATAGTTAGAATTTTTTAAGCTTGTGAGCAAAACGTTATAAGATTACAACGCGGACGTTAGCCTTGTCGCGAACTTAGAAAAGACGCAGCGATATCGTTTTTGTAATCTTGTGACTAACAAGAATACGATGTTTCAGGGCTGACACGCTTCGATTGTCTTTTGCCGTTTTAGGAAACAGATAAAGCCGAACGCAACGGTAGTAAGGCTCGGAACGTCGACGTGCTTCTGAAAAGAAGACGGAGAGAACCCTGACAAAGGTTGTAGTGTAAGCAAACGTTTTAGTTATGCTCCTTATCGAACTCTTATAGAAAAGCGAGCGACAGCTGAGATCCACTTCTAACTTGGTTTGTCCGAAGAAACACAGCGGGGTCAACAGGATTAAAGACGGCAGAGCGACTTTAAAGTTGAGCGCGGCTGATAATCGGCGGTCCGATCGAAGCCTCAATATCTGGGCGCGGACTCTTTTATCGGTGAACGAGGTTGAGGGGATGGCTGGGGGAGTCGAGTGGAAGACTGGATCGGGTTGGCAGGGAGGTTTGTTGCGATCAATAGCGACCGACAGATAGTGTAATAAGAATATAAGACAGCGATCTAAGGGGGATGGCAGGATGATCGGAACAAGGTAGCGAAGCCGAACGCGATGTGAAGCCGAGTGTATTGAGAGTGATTCCGAACTTAGGTAGAGGGTTAGGATTGTTGTTAAAGAGAGCAAAGAAAATCTAAGTGTGATGATCTTTTTTCGGATAGAGTCTTGTGTTATGGGCAAGGTCCATTTCAAAAAAATCATCAGACACAAGAATCAGTTTAAATAGAGTTCAGTTGAGGTGTGAGCTTATGTAAGACTCATATGTATTCAACTTGAGTTTGTGCAGTATTGAATTAAAATAGAACTAAGTTCCATTTGAATTGAATATGCTTCTAAGTCATTTATTTGACTAAGTCCTTATTGTGAAAAGGAAAGTGATGACTTTTATAGCTCATCATGCATCATTTTTCAAGGAGAGTAACTCTATGTAATAATATCTACAAAAAAACTATCTACAAGACAAAACAGGTGTGTACACATCCTTAGCAGTGACATGAGGGGATGTATGCTTAGGTACAGGTTTATCTATAGTAGAGCATCTAGATCTGTTCTCTAAAAGAGCAGCTAGAAGTCCTCCAGGGCTTAGGATTAGGGTGCGGAGCCAAGGAGGAAAGAGTTTTGTGTCAGCGTACTAAAAAAGTATCGGTCGGTCAGGTAGAGTGACTAACCGGTGCTGATAGTCCTGGTTTGTAGGCAGGTAAGACATGTGTATCGAGCGCCGCGGGTCAGCGAGAGGACTCGTCGTCGGTTGTAGGCCGCAACAGATCGTTTTCGCCTACACCCGACTCGGTCGTTCGCGCTAGAGGCCGCGGTGTTCGGTGGTCGGCTCCTCCTCAATAGAGGACAAAGGCCGTCGCCGTCGATCGATCCAGTAAAGGTGGAGCGAGCAGCGTGGCACCGATCGTTGGTGTCGCCTGCAGAAGCGAGGTAGTTCGCCTAGACCGGGCGGTGGACGACGCCGGTCAGGGCGGGTGGAGCACCTATGAGTCGTCGCAAGGTTTTGCGGTTCGCGTCGTTAAGTTTGTCGCCGAGGTTACGAACACGATGGAAACACATGATCGGCCGAGGTTGTTTTCCTAGAAAACGGAATCGGCTTTGGTTAGAACAGACGCCCAGAAGAGCGTCGAAGCTTCGTTTCATGCGGATCTTATTCCAGATGGGGTTATAAGCAGCATGAAAGACTAACGGCGGTTTAGGCGACAGAGCAGTCTTGACCCGATCGGTCAAGAGCTGTTGTCGATCCTTCCATTTAACGGTGCGAAACGCAAAGCGTAGCCAGCCTATCGGGTATCCTCTAGATCGGAGGCGTTGGTAGAACAAGGAAGAAACGTTTAGATAAGCTTCTTTTGTTGAGCTTGTACGTGCGTAGCGAACGAGCTCACCTTTTACGAAGGCCAGTTTGACCTTAGGAGGATGATAGGACGACCACGGTATGTACTGGTACGCGTTGGAGGGTTTCTGGTAGACGGAGGTAGTAATCCGTGGGGCAGAACAGTCAGTCGCGTTCACTTGAAGGTTAATGTCAAGGAATGCGAGCGAAGTTTGACTTACAGTCCAACTGAGTTCAAGGTCGCCAAGGGAGTCGTCGACAAAGCGTTTCACGATTTCCACATCGGTGTTCGAACCTTTCACGATGACCAGGATGTCATCGAGAAAACGACCGTAGTATACGAGACTCGTCGGCTTGTTGTCCATAGTCAGTGATTCATAAGCGGCGGCGAACAGATTTGCATATACAGGGGCACATGCGGTTCCCATTGCCGTGCCAAAGACTTGTCGATAGACAGCGGAGCCGAATGATAGAAAGTTGTTGTTGAGAACGAATCCGAGTGCCTCGCTGAGCGTATCAGCATCGGTATCGGAGTAGTCGTTCTTAGTCGCCAACCAACGAATAATTTTGCAACCGGTTTCATTCGGGAGCGAACTATAAAAGGAGGTGACGTCTGCCGTTAGTAGCCATATGGAATCGTCCTTGGATAGCGACAAGGCGGGAAGTTGCTGAAGCAACTGCTTTGAGTCACGGAGAATCCAAGGGAATTCCTGGAGGAAAGGGCGGAGGGTATAGTCCAACCACTTACTAAGGTTTGTAGTAATCCAGTTAAAAGACGGAACGATCGGCCGACCTTTAATGGGGTTCTTGTGGACTTTCGGCAGGATATAGAACTCCGGAATCGAGGGTTTCCGGAGACTATGTAGAATAAACTTTCTGGCTTGTTTTGTAAAGATGGGTGATGCTAACAGGGAGCAGAGTTCCGAGGTGAGTTCAGCCATGTTTACTTCGCAAGGATCGTAGACGGACGAGTCAGACAGCTGGCGCTTACATTCATCGATGTACCAGGTAGTGGGCAGAATGCTCATACCGAGGTTCTTATCGCATGGTTTAAAGAGGTAGGCGTCGTTGTGGATGAGTTCGTCAAAGGTTCGCGTCTTGGTAGATGACAGAGACGGGATCCAGTCGTTGCGAGAGACTTTCGAGAGTGCAGATGAGAGGAGGCGGCCTCCTACTCGTAGGCCTTCTTCTACATCTGGGAAACCTGGTAATGAATCGAAAGGTTTATCAGATTTGATATGGAACTTTGGAACAAAGTCCTCGTCATCAGACTCTTCAGAAAAGATAACGCGTATACGAACCGAGCAAGCGAAGTCCTTCCAGAGCGAGAGCACTTGGTTGGGTTTTTCGTATCGTGGTTTGAGGCAGAACTTGGCGTTGAGGGCCAGGAGTCGAGCCATCGAGCGATCCACGGGTACGGCGAACGGGTTCTGGATAATGTTATTAGTAATCCGAGTTTCAAGCC